GCCAAGCCGTATGTAGTGATCGGTCGATGGGCGCTGTATTGCTATCGCCACAAAAGCTGTTATCACCTCTTGACCGGCCCCTAACAAACCCGTAAGCTTTTATTAGGTTGCTTTCGCTGCTAAAGTGAATCATACTGCCGGGAGCGCATTGTAAGGCTACAGGGGTGTTCGCTTTACCGTTTCGATCGCGTGTGTGTTACAGCTGAAAATTGATCCCTCAAGGGCGCATAAAAACGAATTCCTGACTTGACTTGACGTGAGAATGCTCTTAGATTTCAGCCTGGCCCGACGCACTGGTGGCACCATTAGACAGCACAAAAATTTAGTCATAAATGCAACTATTGCCCTCACAGTCAGACAATTGCTAGGTGTACAAATTGATCAGGCCCTCGATGGTGTTTCTGGTGCACAATGGCGAGTATACATTTAATCATTGTTCTACTTATATTTATTTGAAAAACTTAACAAATCTGTAAATATAAACGAATTAGATGTTTGCAAAACAAACAACTCGGACGGCCTCGCACCATCACGGATGAAGTATACGCTTGCACGGTTGGGCAAGAAGTTTGCAGTAACAGCCTTTTCAACACTGAGCAACTCGCACAACATTGCGAAACCACAACGTCTGTTGTGCATTGGATAATGAAGGAAAATGAATTCCGGCGGTACAGTGCACTGCAAGTGCAAGGGCTGTATCACAACTGGACTCTAACCGCAAGTACGTATTTCAACTAGTAGCGAATAAGCAAGAAGACGCGTCAGTGTGGCGCACAGTGTACTGAACACTGTTCAGCAATGGATTGAAGATGTTTAGCTACAGTATAGACATGTTTTCACCATCGATTCTCGTTGGCAACTTCGGCACTTTGCTTCAGCCGCTATAGCTTTATTATGGCTTAATGAAATATGGTTGCCTAGAGAATATGTTGGCCCTGTGATAAGATGTCCTAGGTTTGTTCCGTTTGTTTTCGGCCTTGTTTCATTTGCTTATGTTTGTCGCATTACTTACTGGTGCGGCTCCTTACCGCAGGCTGTAGTACATCGGAAACACATAGCAACATTGTTCACAGATTCATCGGTGACCATAGTCGGGTTGTTGGTTCAGAACGATGGCTCCCAATTCATAGTGCAAATCAGGCCCCTAAATGCATTACGGTCAATTCGGTGAATGTTACGAGTTGGTTGCAACTTTGGAGGTAGTGCTATAAAACTGTGTTCATAGCATCCAGTAGCGGCAAGACTTCATGGTGGGTTGCTCGCCGAGGTCCGTAGATACAACCAACTACAAGATGCCAACAAATTGTGACACGTTTCGCAATCGAAAGTGGTGTAACTCGCTGAAATAGTTCAAACATATCGAAATATATGCTTACAACGGACTTCACTCGCAAAGTACCATCTGACCAAACCTGTAGAAAACCATGTTGTGCCTCATGGATTCGATATTTCGAGTATAAGAAACCTATCATCTCGTTTTGCCCATTCATTGTTTTGTCAGACACTCGGAGTCCGATTTAATAACAGGCGAACAGTATGTTGGCCTGTTGCCGAGGACACTCGACTGTTTACATTCATCCATCCTCTCCCGGGTGCTGAACGCGTTGGGAAGCTCATCCGGAACTGCTTAAAATGAAGGCACTATTGCAGTCGTGTCAACTGTGTACGATCTTACTTCGCCCTCCGGTTAAGCGAGACCTGAAACGCCCTTCTAAATTCACTCCTTTACGCATCCATCATAAGTGGGCCATGTTAAACTATGCTCGATCGGCTGCCTTCCGTTGCCTGGCGAACGGCATAAACTTACGTTCCTCCTCTGTGTGCAATCGATCACGTTTGTCTGCGCTTCTGTTGTATTCGGTCTGGTCATCACCAGTCTGCAACCTCATGTGATATATACCATCCCGGTGTCGTATCCCCGACGGAAACAAGGTCTCGCTGCTCCCTAAACTCCGGAACGAAGGGAAACCAAGCATGTCAAGAGCCTACACCACCTGTGTTGTACGAGCTCATATTAAAATCCCTCGGGATGTACTCCATGGGTATCGGCGATTTCGAGGGGTACTCAAGGTCGGGAGCATCTGTTACATCATGAGGTCTTACCAAATCCTGAGGAATCCCGGAGACGTTTGTCACTCACGCAATTCATTCATAACACCCACCTGGCAAGCCATCAGCTTAGGTGGGCAACGCAGTATACTCAGCTATAATGTCGCATTGGCATCTTCTCCCTGTAAGTGTGCTAGCTGTGGAATGCCACTCACTGGTATGCATTCTCGGTCTCCACTGCACTAGCGAATAAACTCTATGCTCTGTGTTTAAGTCCTTCGTGTGAATGCACTCACCATCATTTTGTTGCAGAACTCTACTCTGTTTGTTTAGCAAAGCATCCCAACCACATCTGGCCACCACATGTCCATCCGTGAAAAATTAGTCATCTCAGTGTCTACATTTTTTCAACGTTCTTCCTGCAAGCAGAAAACAGATGGACAGAACCTCATTCGGGCTGTATTTACTGATCACATACCGATGGAAGCAGGAAATGGTACGCCAACACTTACAAAGTGCGGAGACTCTGAAACGAAAGCTATGTCGGCTTTATATCGCCAAACAATACGTCCGCTGGTCCAGAAGGTAATAGCGACATTCTGCTCCACCAATGACCAAAGAATGGCTGCAGCCCAATTCCATGATCATTATGGAACTCACCAGTAGGTAGCAATTAAACAAACATTAAAAATAAGAGGGACCCAGCGAACATGGGTATACAAACTCAAATGCCATATTGCTTAGAGGATTAATATGCGAGGGGCTGAGGGCTTCGATTCTATTGCGAACAGAAGTGTATGAAGCTATCGGCTACGGGATGATTAGGCAATGAAGGGTGACAACTGGTCTATTCATCAGAGTAACAAATAAGACAATATGTTTTCATCAATAACATGTTTGCGTGCAGATGTCCACTGCCTCAACTGCACCCGCAATGGAACAAGCCCTTTTCGTATTTCCGCCTGACCCAAGCTAACAAATATCATGAGCCGACTGACATCATGAAATTGAGATGTTCTATGACATGTAGTCTACGCAAAGAACGATTTCCGCTCCAATGATTTTGGCTTCGCATTCTAGCAGTAGCACAACCATCAACAACAGCAATCAATTAGCAAGTTGAAGTAACGCTTCGACGCCCTGCAATCAGAATGAGTCAAAGAATGAAGAGTATTAATTGAGGGAAAATGTAGACTGTGTGAAACATAAGGCAATAAGTAGCCAACAACTTGTCAACAACATATGGTCTCGAAAGGTTGTCATCGTACAAAGATAAGGCAGCATTAATCAGACAGCTCCCTTAAGGCTTTTCTACCAAGCGTTATAATCAGCCATTACTCTGTAGATAGTTCAGTGCCAAACAGTATAAACAAGAAGTCCAACTATGAAACGAGAAGAAATGGGCCACTGGTACAGACCGCGAGTAATGTCCACTAGCGGATCGAATCAAGCCCAAGTTAGGTCACGTGGACTCCAGCCTGGAAGGTGAGACGGAGAAATCAGCGTAGTCCTCACTGACTTTAGTTACCTTTGCACAGTTAGAATTTGGCACCAACCAACAATTTGGTGAACAAAAGGAGGCCTTCGTCCATAAGCGGTGACCGGAAGGATATATATATAGCACCTGCCTTAACCAACACGACACATTCAATATTATTCGTTGCATTAAACAGCAAGTCTGAGTATTACGGCATAGTACTCGTCTAAGCATATCACTGTTGCGGACACGCTGGTGGTATCAGATACTAGTAATACTAAGGAGGCAACCATGATCAAAGATTTTAAGGCGCCTCAGACCGAAGGGGTCAAGTCTCAGTTACATAGAAGAGGGCGGCACTCAGTGGCTTTTTAAAAACGGCTTTCAAGAGCGGCGACCATCCCCTTCAACGTACTTACCAGGATGCAACGCCCGCATTTGTAATATCAGTAGCAGTCATGCGCCCATGTTTCTTGATGCAGCTGCCCAGTTTAGATAAGTGATCAATTAGTTCCAGTTCGTCGTTATCAAGAATTCAAGGGTCATCAGATAACTGGTGGTCATCCAACTAATAGTTTGAAGGTGCGAAGCGCATACCAAATGGGTGGGAAAATTTTAGTGAGGTTATTCAGGATTGATTGGGCCACAGAAACATTGTTAGACAGTAAGACAATATTATCCACGTGATCAAAACCCACTAGTTATCTACGTATGCGTCGTGAAGTCCAAGGCAACGTTGTACGAAAAAGTGGGAAAATGGGACAACCGTGGCGAACGTCACTTGCGTTCGAAAAGGGATAGGACAACCCGGCGTAAACCCTGTTGTGACGTGTGGTGTTCGAATACATGGCACGTAAAATATTCACAAGTTTCACTGGTACACGTTCCCGAGCTGATACGTCGAAAAAGGGTGTATCGGCTGACTAAGTCATGTGCCAACACCTACCGCAAAGTCAATATATGGTCTACACATTCCGGTTCTGTGCGGAAACCGGCCTAATCTAATCCGACACAGCCGTGGCCGAAAGGACCACACGCTTGCCTTGTAATCGGGAGGTCGCAGGGTTCGAGTCTGCGTAGGACACCGGACGACCCTGGCAGCATCCTAAGCTCACGTGCGGAACGTCGGTATTGTGGAGCGGCGTACTGCTGACGCCTTTCTTTCTTTATTCTAAGCAGGGATGCTCATTCTACAGTAAGGCGCATTAGACGGTATGTGTCCTCAAACGAGACAGATTGTGACGCTTGACAGTTGTACTTAACCGGCCGGCTGGAGCATTCTTCATGCCATCTTTATGTGCTCAACAAAACAACTATACAGTGTCGTGTTACAGTCAAGCGCATCGGTCCTCAATCCCCTCCGCGCAACTACAACAACCCCGCAGAGTTGGAAATTCTTTCTGAGTGAAATTAAAAATCGAACTCACAAATTTAAGATTAGTGGAGGAGGTTGGCACACTGTTAACAAAAGTGGCTAAAGAAGAGAGGTAAAACTTCGGCAGCAATGGCGAGGATCTATAGGAAGATAACTTACTGCACTTGAGCTGGCCAGCATGTGAGTAAATGGTTTGTCGTCAAACTTTCCGGTGTGCAACAGCATGAGTTTAAACTTGTCGTAAAAGGCCAACTGACCAAAGGTCATAAATGCAGCACGGGTCGCGGTCATGGAAACTCCGCTGAACAGCTTCATGGTCCCCTCCTTACGGATAACCTGGACGAGTCCATCAATGGCGTGTTTGTAGCTGACAAATGGCAGGGTAGAATAAAAACGCTGTATTTCTTGCTTAGATAGGTGCAACATGACAACATACACATTGTACAGGTCAACCGGTCTGAGAACTATGATCGTGTCCTGCAAAAATGAAGTATACGGATAAGTACTACAACGGAAAACGACCATACTGCAAGTAGCTTGTTCACATCAAAACAGTCCTTCATGGAGTAATCATGAAAAGTAGAACTGCTAAAAACAATGGACACAACGGGGTTTATGAAAGAAGCGACCGTTCACAACTTCTGGGAGGTGGTGGTATCTGCACTTATTTCCTATCCATTCCCTTCCTACACTGATGCCGTCATCCTGGCATTTCACTAATGCTTGGAAGTCATCATCAGCACAGAAACATGTGAACCAGTCTCGAATGGAATGCATTATTTCGTCATCCCAGTGGGAATGAAAATCAAACTGTGAGGAATGGTAAACAAATGGAGATCATTTGCGCTAAATCAGAACTATAAGGGGGATGTGAAGATGCGACTTGGGAATAAATGATCTACCAATTTAGTACAGAATATAACTCAAGTGTATCGACCAGAGACAGAATGCTGTGCATTGGAACCCAAGTGCTATTACTCACTTTCCGGGACAGCAAGGTATTCACCATTCGCAAAGGGAAAATTAGACAGGTTATCAACGTCGGCACAAGTTACACGACGATTGTCATCGATGAGAAACTGTTCAACGAGCCGAGTGATCCGGGGAATGATCGCTGTGGGCTGGGATCCACCTAGGTCAGGATTGTCAGTGACTGACTTACGGAAGCTTTGAAACGCGTCTTAATGAGACTACGCGTCTTATCACGATACTGTGGAAGAGGCTTGTTATAAGGTTCAGCTGGTTTTACATCCTCTTGCACATGGAAGTTCAGCATAACACGCTGTCTCATGGGCAGAGTCACAAAGTAGTCGGTCATACTAGACATCTATATATTGAATCGTGAATGAAACTGGTGTCTTCTGGCAATGACAGGACAAAGTTCTCAGTCCTTACCACATGCACCAGTTCTCCCTTGGGGGTTGAATTTACATAAGGTAGTTCATAGTGCACTCACTGGCACGAGAAGCATTGCCTTAAAGCGCAAAACTTAAACGATGGTAACACGCTCAGTTAGAAAGACGCGTCATTAATGTTGGTCGTAGCCAACTCACTGGTTTAGTCGGTGGCGGCCGACGGCTCAATTCCCGCCAGGTCGAAATGCTTGTAAACTTCTGGAGGGCACGTAGGAAAAAGGTTCGACAATCTGATGCAGTTCTGGTGATGAGTTACGGGAAGTGGAAACAGTTATGGGAATGATGGGTGGAAGCGATCAAAGACGACCGTTCAATCGAATGAACAAAGTCAGGTGAAAAGGGAAGTTAGTCATGGGGGGTGCAGCAATCAGCTAGTCTGCAAGTAAAACTTGTACTTATGTTCCGGCAGTTGCTCGCGCCAAGTCAGATTCGAATCCGTGATTTGTGAATTACATGCCGAGAGCCCGAACCAATACAACTACCACTGGACCATGCGGGAGAAGTGCCGGCCGATACCGAAGTACATTCTGATGTGGCAGACAAAATCTTTGAACGCCTTTCAGCCGGCCGTTATCTTTTCACCGGATATCATTTTTACGTTATCAACTGCGGATGTACCAGTTTCACAAGAATATTTTGACAGTTTCCTTGGTCAAATTATCACCGAGGTCATTGCGACCGATGCTTTCGTCCGAGAAATTATAGGCCGATTGAACGCAATAGTGAAGGAACGTTTTAGTAAAACTGCCGTCAACTGGATAGAAATCCTAAGGATTCTGCTCAACAATTGCGACTATTACTCGAGAATGCGGGGTCGTTTACTAGGGTGACAACAATGTAGCCTTTTCCTTTTTTGTCATTCATTTGGAAAAATTTGCACCTCTTATGATGTCATCTTGATCCAGTTGCAGTCGATAATATAAAATGTTGAAAACGCGCCCATCCGGTTAATGAAAAGGCTTATCTTTACTTGATTTTACTAGATCTGGCCTGACTTGACTCGAAAATATTCACGCCAGCCCAAGCTGCATACACACACACACACCCTGAATACAAGAGACTCAAATCATGCTGTATCCGAACATCAGCGGTGAGCTCAGACAGAAAAGTCATCAAGTGGATACAGTGAAAACATGAACACTGCACGAGAAGGAAAGGTTTGTCTTATAGTGTCTTCTCTTTCTATATCTGCCGTCATCACCGATTCAATTCCAGTTGCTTAATGGGTGGTTTATGTTTCGTAAGGCGGAACTTAGAATTTAGTAGCGCCCACTATGCAAGCGTTCTTAGTTGGCTTAAACAGCGTCGTACGTATCAGCACAAGCTTTGTCTCACGAAGGAACAAGGTATCACTGTGGTGGTGGATTGTTTACTTAACGATAAACAAAAAGCCATCCGAAATAGCTGGTCGGCTCACGCGCACTAAAATTAGTAAAGCCCCTATCAATCGAATCAACGAAATAGCCGTGCAGTTTTCCAGAAACCCGAAGGAATTAAAAACTATCGATCAAGAGTATGGCGCATAAGGCTGTAGTGCAACTGAGGATGGAGTATGTAGCGGTGATCAGGTTACTGTTTACTGAAGACACATGAATAGGAACACTTCCAACTCGGGGGACAGATGATTGAGTGAGGGTGGTGCAAGTCTTAATAGCTAAATCACGATTACTGTGAATTTGTATTGGGATGTTTGAAAAGATTGCATCATCGGTACTGGTGAGGATTTCCAACAGGTTGTGCAGAGAAACCGATTTAGGGGCTTAACAAAGAATTCAGCAGAAGGCCAGTGCACCGCATCGACGCTTTGTTGCCACACAACCGCCATCAATAGCGAAGTCGTTCGCCGATACGCGAATTCGAACCGAGGTCCTCAGGATTACAACGAAAGTGACGTAATCCTTTCGGTCAACGGCAGATATTAGCTGGAATTACACTATAATGCTTCCGGATTTGAATGTATGGCAGATGAACTCGTAGGCAGCGACACATTTTAGCAGACCAAACAGGTCAAAATGTCCAATTATGGATTCAAATAAAACTATTCCACATTACAAACAATTACTGATCAAATTATACCAGCAGAGTGCAACGTTACGCCAAGGTGATTCAGTAACTTCGACAGTACGTCTCGCTTGCATTCCCTTCGCTAAGCAGCCAAAGATCTCGGTGCGGTAGAGGCTTACTACAATAAGTGTGATGCTGAGTAGTATTTGATTAAAGAATTGCAAGCGGCCTTGCAATGTAAGGCTTTTAGTAACGCTGCCCGTCCCTCTGCTTTCTGCGTTGCCAACCCAGCCGCGGAAGAAACAGAAGACCAGAGACCTACCAAACCTAAGTGTATTAGGAACAGAACTCGGTTAATTTTATAGGTCACATGCTATCACCTCCGGCTGTGTGTTTCTGGGCTGACTCACGTCCCTAGGCTAGACAGATTCAAACCTGCTATCGGTCTCCACCGATCAGCTGTAGTCGCCCACACGCCAGCCGCTTAGCAACCCGTGGGTCATGATGACGAATTGATTTAAACAGTTTTCCGCGTGACTTTCCGCATGCCCATTTCACGTATCGAAACCGTGTCACAGAGTTCTTTCGTTGCGGTCGCCTCATACCTGTCCTTTCGAACTGAGTCTGCTTGCGTACCGTTCGAACTTGACTTTGTTCACAGGTTTCGCTTTGGGGTTAACTTGCAATCATTGTGGTCATCTCCGCTTTCGGGTCACCCTGCATTGTATGTCATTCAGTGCTTGCAGATTCTGTTGTGATCCACGTAGGCGCTAACGGGGCAGGCATCCAATTCCTAGCAGCCGGAAACAGTTGGCCATGACGCAGACCGAAGCTTACTGGCTAACCAATGAGAGCGGGTTAACGATGACGCTTCACCTTGAACCCTTAAAAGGGCAGTCTACTGAACACCGTATTATAGAGCAAGTAGAAATGAATTCTTTACAACTCCTTCGAAATATGGTGAAAACGTCATAAAAATTGTCAGCCGTGAATATCGTTAACGTTCTCAAGGTATTGCAGGACTCACAAATGTGACATGTCTTCGTAATTGTGCAATCGTTCTCTGAATTGAACTGTGGTAAAATATAAACCTAACAACGTTTTGAACTGTTGCACAGACATTGGCTTCATCACATGTTCAGGAAAACTGTCCCAAATATTTACCACTCTCCGTTCAAAGCAAAGTGGGTGGGGAACTCGCTTCACATCCGGCACGACAAGTTTTACCTGTGTCCGTGTGTGATGCATGGCCCTCGTAACTGCAGCATTGGCCTCAGCATGGGGAAGTCACTGAAGTGTGTAGAATACGGTAGGTCATAATGAGGTCGACTCGCACCCGACGGGAGGACAACGTGTAGAGTCCTAGTTTCTCACACCGGTCTTCATACCCCAAGCCACGTAAACTCGGGATGAGCCTGGTAGCAACGTGTTGGACCCGTTCGAATTTTTGTGCCTCGCCTCGGGAAATCGGAAAGTAAACGGGCGAACCGTACTCTAGCATTGGTCTAATGATGGAAGAGAAAAGTCAAGTGGCAACCTCTTCAGACCATGTGCCGAAGCTACGTTTAAGCGCCCAAAGCACTTGCAGTCCGTTACGATATAGCCTGTTCGTGTTGTCCACGGACTTCAAATCACAGCGCGAGAGTACACCCAGGTCTTCCACGGAGAATGTGGGATTTAGCGGTTGGTCGTCAAGGATGTAGATTCGGCCGTCGGTACCCTACCCCAAGCTCATAAATACTGATTTGGCTGGGTTGACTGGGAGATGAACTAGTGCAGACCATGTGCATAGGCGGTTGAGGTCTTGCTGAAGTACGACACAGTCGTCGGGAGCGTCAATTTCTTTCCAAATCTTCATGTCATCCGAAAACAAAGCACACAGCGACCGAATAAGCTGAGGTAGATCGTTGATGTGGATCAGGAACAGAGTGGGCCCCAGCACAGTGCT